TGGTTCTCGCGCTATCCAAAATAATTGAAATAATCGAAATATTGAAATATCTGGAGGAAACAAGGCGCTAAATATACCCTAGAGGTTCCTCTCTCATATATATATATATATAGATATATATATATATGCATATGCATACATATATATATATACCTTTACACAGACACACATACATTCATGCCTGCAGACATTCATCACTCTTTCTCGCTTTGCCCCCAAGACTATTGTTGGTTAGGGTACAGACGCAGTCTCAAGCAGGATTGTTTCAGCAGAGCGGGGCTTGGGGTTTGAGCTTGACAATAATTGAACTTTTCCAATAAGCCTGATGAGACAGCGTTCTGGAGAAGTAGCCTGACAATGTCGTGAGCCTTGGCCTGGAGGACTTCGACGATGAGGAGGAGGAGGCCCTTTGCAGGGCGACTTAGGACCGGAATCTCGGGCAGCTCTTGCGGGAATTTTTGCAGCCACATTTACCAGGCAGCATAGCCACCAAACAGCAGATTCGCAACGAGAGGCTGCAACCACTGAAATGTGACGAGATTGGAAGTGCCTTTTTTCCGGCTAGCTTTTAGCACAGCCAAGAGGTCAGGTGACCGGCAAAGGGCTATACCAAGCTACAAAGCTGCGGCCAGTTCAGTGACTACTCGGATGACCCCATGGAAGAGCAGCTCCGCGAGCAGGCCGGAGGCATAATCACAGCACACCCAAAAGACCTGCTGACCCCTGCAGGTTCAGGGCATTTGTATGGGCCTGGTACCTCACTTACCGCACCAGGAGAGCAAGACTGATACCAGGGCAGAAGACACTGGTGGAAGGGACTTTTAAAACGGCAGGTCAGTTCGATGTTTCCCCATGCCCAAGCCGAGGTTTGCTTGGCGCACCACGTACTGCGAGGGCCGCCCCTCGTAGGCCTTTCACGTCAGAGCCGACTGCTCAATGAGAAGGCAAGATCTGCTTTCACCAACATGAAGATGTCAACATCATGATCTTCAAAGCCGGATGTTGTCCATTGTTTGTCAGATCGTTGAAAGGGCTGCACAGAAGCCCAGATTCGGCAGGACCTGCTGGAGGAGCTGATGAGTCTGCGATATTGGGATTTCTCCTCAGGGAACGCTTTCTAGGACATTTATGCAGGCCCCGGCACTGCGGTAGACCATTCGCGAGCGCTCGCCGTGCAGTGTGTAGACTGGCATGTCCGCCTGCCGAGCATTTTGCCTGGGCTGTCGACGCACTGCAGGTCACGCATCGCAAGACACCTTCGGACTGGAGCCAAAGACTCAGTGTGACAGTGGCAATGCCGTCTGGATTGTCTGTGAGATCAGGCAGCATAGACGCACAAGCAACAATTGCGGACCTGATGAAGTGAAATGTCCATTCATGCGGAGATGGCGTCACGAACAAGCATGGCCCCCTGCAGCCCTTGCATTGCAGAGGTTTGGTTGCAAACTGCAGGCATTCAGTGCTATCAGTCGTGGTATAAGCCCTTCTGTTGGACGAGACGTGGCTGGGGAGGGTGGATGGGTTGGTGGAGTTTACACCTGAGGCCTGGATCGACTGAGGACGGTTGCCCTCAGATACTCGCACCCCAACCCCATGGAGGCCGCATCGACACTTTCAGTGGGCTCCTGGTGGTGAGAGTTTTCTGGATGCCAGGTCCACGGGCCACAACCCGACATGTCCTACATCCTGCGGCACGCAGGGGTCTGAATCACATAGTAAGTTGTAAGTCACTTGTACGACACAGCGAAGCAGAATTACTGGCGGTGATGTCCACTGCCGACATTGGTGCGCATGAAGATGTGAGGATGATCTCCCCCTGGCTCAAAAAGATGCACGAGTCAAAGCCATCCAGGCGAGCCCACGGGACCCGACCTCCGCGAAATCCTCGTTAGACAAAGCGAGCTCGAGCCCTGGCTTCAGTCGAAGATTGAATCTCCTCTGAAGGATCTGCTAGCTCTTCTCAGGCGACAGACGCCTCAGCTCTCCTAGAGGAGGCCCAGGGAGAAGCTCTGACATCGAGCATCATACACCGATCTCTGCATCCCGGAGGTGCGCGGCATCTTGACACCTCGGTGGGTTCAATAGGAATCGACGGAGGCTTCGGCAGCAGCGCAGGCGGAGGCCTTTGGGCAGCGGAGCTTCCAACTTCGCAATGTCACGGGAAGTCGATCCGAGCCGGGGCTACAGCAGAGCTGAGCCTTTCAGCCGCCGTGCAATCTCTGCATCTGAGCTGCTTGCGTCCGTCTTCTTCCCTACGCAGTGCGGTAACACGGCGAAGGGTTTGGAATTTTCCAAAGTTTGCAGTCGTGCTCCCGCCACAGTACTGGGGTATGCAAATCGTCGTCCCGCTTCAATTTCCACCTCCGAACTCGTGTCTCTGCCTGCCCAAGTCAGGTGGTCTCGGGTAGGGTTTGGCTCAGTTGGGGTCTGCGTCAGTTTCAAGGGCGCCACGTATTGCTTTGAGCAAGGGGAGGCCATGCATTACTCGTTCAGGCTTGAATGAATCATCCCTCAGCCCAAGCCCCCATGCTTAAAAAAAACCCAAAGCGGCAAGCGCCTTGCGCCGACCGTGCCAGGCGCAGGGATCTTTGGAGGCCCTCTGGAGGATGCTACGCTGCTGCCTAGCGCTGTCGGGGCCCATCAGCCTGCAGATTGAAGGGCCTGGAAGTTTGTCACTGTGGAAGTTGAAGTATTCCCCAGTTCATGCGAAACCGTGCCAACGTTATACGTTATAAGTTGATTGCATTCGAGCTATTGCACTTCAGGCTACCATGCTTCCGACGCTCGAGGGGAGTCTGGCCCTCACTGGAGCGGGGATGCTGGTGTCGGATTCACGGCCCGATGGCATCGGCAGCACCGGGGCGGGGTTGCGGGCTGCTTTTTGTTGGTGATCATGGCCGTGCTGTAGCCACGGAGCTGTTGTGGAATCAATCGCTGTCGAGTCGAAGCCTCTTAAGTAAGAGCGCCTGCAGGTCCGCTCCCGTCAAGCCTCGACAAGGCCCCTCAGTTGGCTCCGACAGCTGACGATTTTCGGAGTTGTGGGACGGAGGGACTACTCGTAGTTTGGGGCAGGTGGCCGGTGGCTCCGGCCGAGGCTGGCGGGCCAGCAAGTTGCCGCTGTCCGTTCAGAGCTTAGAAGCGCCAGAGCCGCCAGAGCCGCCAGAGCCTGGAGGCTCAAAAGCCTGGAGCCAAGGCCCGAGAGGCGAGATCTGGTATGGCAGCCACCCTGCCTCCACTTCCACTCTGAGGACCACATTGAATTCTCGTTGCTGTGCAGTCCTTGCGGTGATTGTGGGCAGGATCAGCGGGTGATCGTTCTCAGAAGCGATTTCTGAGCTGGCAGGATGTTGGACACACTGCTCAGAAGCCGCCTTGCGGGGATTTTTATGATACCCAACGCAACAAGCAAAAGTCATTCAAACACACAGGCATCTTTGCAGGTGTGTCCCAAGCGAGTGCAAGCAGAGCTGCGAGCATTCGATTTTGCTCTAGCTGCGGCGCAGGCTTTTTCCGAATGGAAGGCCTTTGCAAACGCAAGCGCCTTTTTGGCAGAGCTAGTTAATGACCCTGGACCGTGCGAATGCGCATGCCAAGCTTGACTCGGAGTGCTGTCGTCAGGCCTGAGAGCCACGCCCCGAAGCGCTAGTAGTAACTAGTAGCTAGTACTTCTGAGCATGGGTGCATGTGTGAACCGGCAGGTTTGGGCATCTTCGCGGCTTGGTCCCTGTGGAGGATGACGCAAGAAAAGCCTTCCAAAGAAAGGAGTACCAAGTCCCAGAGGCCCGGCGGTCAGGAAGGCTTTGGGTGGCTTCATGGGGGCCTTGTCAGGCCGGTCGTTAGGCTGAACTCCGGATCTAGAGAAGCGGAGAGAGCTCGAGCGGAGGTGTGCACTGCTACTGAGTGTAAGGGGCTTGTCATCGCCGACGTCAGCCCTGGCATGTCTAGCCCAACGTGCTATGTGCCATGTGCCAAACTGCAGCATCTTTGTCAAAGCAGTGCCCGTCCATGTAGCAAGATGCTACGGGACACCTTTCGTGACACGGATGTCCAGTGCCAGCCCAGCGAGCATGTGCTGCAGCGCGCAGCCGTGGTCTTTACTGCTTTCTTGAGTTGCTTTTTCGCGGCTGGACTGACGTTCGGATTTTCCGCTTTAATGCCGAGTCTACTGGATGACGGGGCTTTTCACGAGGACTGCCTTCACAAGGAACGCAAGACTTGCCACGCCCAGCGCTTGCATCTCGTTTGGGTTTTCACGCTGGGATCATCCGCCTCGGCCCTTTCCACGCTGCCCCAGGGCATCTTGTTGGATTGGCTCGGGCCCAGGATGTGTGGACTGATCTTCAATGCTACAGTGGCTGCCGGATGTGTGTTGTTCTCCATGGGCGGGTCGGGGCTATGGCACGCTGCATACACTCTGGGCTTCGTTCTGATTGCAGTAGGGGGCTCCGGCGTTTTCGTGAGCACCATCAGCTTCGGCAACCTCTTCCCCAACAACGCTGGCCTCATCTTGGCGATGCTGGTTGCCTGCTTTGATGCCTCGATGGTCATATTCGAGTTGCAAGCGCTTCTCATTTCCTCCGGCATGACTGTCGGAACTACTATGCGTCTTTATGCGCTTATTCCTGCAGCTCTTGCAGTGGCAGCTAGTCTTCTCTGGCCCACGGCAAACGTCCCGGGCGCACAGGAGCGCCGTTCGGAGGATTCCAAAAGTGCTGACTTCTGGGGCAAAGTCCTCAGCGCGGACTTCCTCCTCTTTGTCTATGCAGCGGTGGTGGACGTGTTAAGCGTCAATTATTTTGTCGCAACGGTATACCCGCGCTTGCTGTCAGTGCATCACCGCGACGCGAGCATGCTCAACTCGGCTTTTGCATTCCTCCTTCCGGCAGGAGAAGCAACATGTTTGGTTTTTTGGCGGGTATAGGTACTTCGTTGAAAGGTGCATGTAGCGCGCAGACTGCCCGAGCTATTGCAAACTAATTAGCCTAATTAGCCATTAAATACCGGATCTCTGGTCATGTTCCTGGGGCCGGTCAGTCAAGGACATGTACTGCTGTACTGTCCGAAACCCAACTCGCAATCCATCAGCTCTCGTTCAATCTGCAGAACGACAACGCGAAGATGCACCTACTGTCCTTCTCCCCGGGGATTTTGCTGTTTGCAGGGTACCAGGGCAGTGTGTAAGCGTGGAAGGGGTGGACAAAACTCGCACAGCTGCTATGCTCTTCAGAAACAACCGTCCCCGGATGGCCCAGACAGCCCGCTCAGCGCCGAACACTATCGAAACAGGATGTTGCAGTCACTGCTAGAGTGCCCTCAGTTGATAAACGATGAATCGATTTGCCACTTTCCGTGATGGGATTCTCGATGAGTGCACTGCAGGACAAGGGGGCTTCTGAATTTCAGACGGCATTGAGATGCTAATCATACCGCAACGGCTCTGCACTTAGGGCATGGCATCTCTTGTGTGAAAATTCGTCTGCCTCATGGAGGCGGTGGATTTTGTGCATGTCTGACAGATGGTCTACTTCACAGGTAGGCTTGAGCAGACAGCTGGCACAACAGGAGCCTTTGTCTACGCCCCCTTGATTGGCTTCGTTCTTTTCCATTACGGCCCGGCAGCCGGATTCCTCATCTTTAGCGGTGCCGATCCTCAGATCCAGCACCGCATGAGAGATGCAGAACTTAAGAAGTTGCATGGCTAAGCGGTGCTATGCAGTGTATTCACAAAACGCGACGACAGATGCAGTCCCGTTGCGAACCCCATAATAGTTTCAATTTCTGAGGTTGCCTGGATATTGACGGGTAAGACATATCGCTCAAGGTCCCAGGTGTTTGGCAAACGCTGGAAATCAGAGCATCATATTATGGTCGGTTGTGCGAGGTTGGGCAGCAGACGAAGATTGAACGTTTGGGGGCATTTGTCAGCAGTTGCAGATTCCTGAAGCTCTGTCGCCCATGTAGAAGGTGCTTATTTCATTATGGTCAACGTGCTCGGGTGTCCCGGCTGATGTCATGAGGTTTGTGCAATGTTTCGTTTGTGTAGGTAGCATGTCCGGTGACTGCGCAGATCCAATGCAAGCACATGTTCAAGTGTTCTTGTCTTTCAACCTCGCTGTTTACCTGGGCTGCGTCCGTAAGCAGCAAACCTCGGCATCAGATAAAGACAGCAGAGCGTCATTGGCCCAGGATCTTTGAGTTGGGCATGCTCCGGGGCAACTTCTGCGCTTGGGTGGCTTTTGCGCTCTTCGCACTTTGCCGGCCGCTGCTGTATGCTTCCGCGAATGCCCTTTGCGGAGCCCATGGAGTTGTAGGGGATGCTCTCCACACGTTTCAAGCTTCATCAAGTGGAACTGCAGTGGCGCCCACTCGGGGCCGGAGATGGTTTGACTGTTTGACTTGATTCCTGCAGTGTTCAGGGAGCTTGACAGGAATATGACTCACATGACCCCAACACATGACGCGAGGATCTAGAATGTAGGACAGTGAGACCATCACCATACTTGTCAAGATCCGTGAACAGACCCTCCGCCGCACACCCTTGACGCCACAGGAGACCTCTTCAGCCACCGCCACCATGGGCAAATGTACGGCCTGGTGATGCCGCTCGTTGACCTCTGAATTGCTTTCAAGTCGAAAGGCTCGGTTTGGGTGGGTGCAGGCACGTCGAAGTCAGGCTGTGAAGCCAGTGCTCTGCGACTGATTCACAGAGATCCCGGCTCAAGATGCCCACCGAGGACCTTGGGCGGCTTTTGCAGCTTGTGGATTCGTCCATTGGCGGGATTGGCAGCTTCAGACAGCTACCTGAAAGTTGACTATGGCCTGCTCGTGCTGCAGGCGGGGCAAATCGATGAAGATTTTTATTTGCCCCAAAGCCTTCAAGTTCAAGTCTTGGTGGGCCCCAGTAGGTATGAGCCGTATGCACGGAGGGAGAAGTTTGACCCGAATTCAGCACTGGCCACGATTCGGCATTTGGAACTTGACCATCTTGGATCTTGATAGGCCTTGCACCTCCGAGATAGCCTGTCGCCCCTGTCCACCTTCGGTTAGTGTCCCGGGCCCGAGAAAAGGTCTTCGCAACTGCACTTCCACTTCGAGTTCTCTGGAATGTCTCCACTTTGGAGCATGCTTCCAAGGGCGCATATTCACCCGTCTCTCAGCGTGAACGTGATCCCATACTGACTGAGAAGGAAGCGTAATACGCGAACACATGCCGAAAAATCAGAACGCTGGGCGTGACTTGACAGGCTTCCAGCACAGCATGTGCTCGCTCATACACCCTGTTCACACTTGTTGCATTAGTTCGCCCATCCTTGCATCAGGACATCACCGGCAGCCCACACCGTAGCTACAGCACGCATATGAATCCCTGAGTTATATGATCGGTGGCAGGCAACAAGTGAAAGCCGAAGCGCGTTTAGTGAAGAAGAGGAGGTGAGACTTCGTTCCCAAGCTGGAAAATGAATCTGCGATTCGGATGGCTAAAGCCCATGGTCTAAAGAAATTTGTATAAGACGGTTTTCCGATGTCAAGCAATGTGTCCGCGAAAGATTCCCGATGGGTCCGCAAAGGTAAGCACTGAACTCGGACTACATATAGGACATGGAAAGCCTATCAGTAACATGCATGCTATCACTCTGCAGGTGCACAGGTCCCAAGCCAGTTGTTGTACAAGGCTGCAATGCACCGAAAGCTAGAATTTGAGGCTTTGAGCGTGGTGCAAGAAGCAACGACGGAGCTGCCAATTGCATTCAATAAGATCGTATACTTAAGCCTATCTCAATCTGCGGCCCGGTCAAGATAGAGACCGCATAATAATTCAAATATCTGGAAAATCTCAATGTTAGAACAAATCGATATTTTTAAAAAAATTAGAATTCTCTTCTATCGCGATTATTTTTCGATTAGAAGCCTTAAATAAGAATAAGAATAATATAATGATATCTTAATTTCTAGTCTTATTTTATTATTTCTTTATGATATTATTATTATTATGGTGATACCGCTTATAAAAGATGATTATAATTATTATAATTTGATATATTCATAGTATTTTCATATATTTCATTTCTAATCTTAATATATTTATATTATTAATTCATCTTATATTAATATATAATATTGACAAATATTTATATATATAATAGATTTAATTAATATATCTTTCTTTATCTAATGGATATTATGAGATTATCTCATATTATATTTTTTTGTAGTTTCTAGATTATTAATAAAGTTATTAGATAATTTTGAATGCTTATATTTATTATATTTATTTTTTTCTTTATTATACACTCTCTTTCTATTTATTTATTAAGGAGATATTCTCTAATAAAATGATATCGTTCTATTTATGTCTATGGTTTTGTGCGTTTTTGAAAGATTTTCTATATTTGTCTCGAGCTACTAAACTCTTGGAAATTTTAGTATTACGAGCTCTTCTCTCCCGACAAAACTCGGAGATTTTGATAGCTTTAGGAAATCTCGCGGTCTTAGAAGGTTTCCAAATTTTGGTAGCTTTTGGGTAATATTCTCCCGGCAATAAAATCTCGGAGATTTTGGTGCAGGCACAAATACCTTGCTCCGAAAATTTAGAAGCTCGGGCTGCAGCTTTAAGAGGATGGGGCCTCTTCGGCGGTCTCGGGCTAGGCCCAGTCTTCTAAATATTTGGAAAACTTGAGGATCCGGGTAGCTCGACGCCTCGGTCTCGAGAAATTTTCTCTTCTCTAATTTTTCTAATAATTTAGATACCGAAACTTTTCGGAAAATTTAGAGAACGAATGCAGCCTTCATTTAGAGAACGAATGCAGCCTTCTAATGTCTTATGTTCCAAATGCAGAACATGTGTTACAGCCAGTTTGTAGTCTTATATTGAAATATCGTGCCTTATCCATTCATGTGGATTATCGATCGCAGGGATTTTCCCATGTAGTGCTATGGAGCAGCGATTGTACGTGAAAGTTCAGTATCTGTCTGTCTGTC